ACAGTTCATTTACTATCACTAATTTACTAATATTTCTCCCACAGCAATTCTAACAAGTAGATAGATTTTTTCTTGTAATTTTTTTTTTTTTTTTTTTTAAACAGAGGAAGTCACACTGATAGAAATCTAATGGTGCAATTGTACTGAAGGAAATTCTGCAAGCACAGCCAGGACTAATTACTCCAACCTCAAACCTGGCTGCTCTCCTCACGGAGAAGCTCTGTACAGGCACATGGGCTGGCAGGGTTAGTAGAGGAACAAACTAATGGAGACGCAGGAATGAAAGGTTACAGTTGTGCAACTCTTGTGGCCCCAAAGATACTTGGACACCAAATGAGGGTGTTACGCCAGCAAGGTACAGAGACACTACTATTTAGTTGTAGTATCTCCTACTAGTATACACATAGGGTTAAGCCTAGAAAAATCTGGATCTGGTAGGCATTTTCAAACTCATCTGTGTCTCATGACTGAACAGAATTTGTAACTGTCTGTGTTTCCATAAAGGCAGGGGTGTATCCTTGAGACAAGGCTAATCCTTTGGTGTTTGAGAGATTGGTGGCCTTCATTTCCCAGGATGAACAGGCTCTAGCACAGGCTGGCCAGGATGGAGGAATCTCCCCTGTGCAGAATACCAGCTCTATGTGGCTTTTCTTTCACATCAACACTGCCCATGGGAGTTGTTTATTATCCTTTCTCCTGCACCTCCTGACTTCCACATCATCCCCAAAGGTGCACTTTAAGTTAGACCAGGGAGAAAACAACCCTACTGCAACCTCACTGCCAACAAAAACCTCATGGGGATATCCCACTGCTAAGTAATGAGCCCTGAGCACTCCACACATCCAGGTTACCCGTGGTGGCTGCACTGGCAGACGCTACGGGACAGATGCGCTGGGGATGGGATTGTGGCTGGGACAAGGGCGTGAGGCACAGAGCTTCTGGGGAACGCATCATCTGCGCAGGACACCAGCAGTGGGAGACTGTGCGTGCTGCAAGCTCTGATCCAGGATTATTTTGCAGCCACTCCTCTGTATGGACAATCCCAGCCCTGCTGTTTGTTTGACTGTTTGTCTTGGCAGCGGGTCCCCACACTGAAACGAGGGTGTAATTTATCTCTGGCGATGGCACTCAGCAGATCGACGAGCAATAGCAGCAGCCTCAGAGGCCCTGGATGGTGGGGGCTCTCCCTGGCATTTGCTTCACATTCCTCCACCTCTCGCACAGTAATAAGGGCCCTGGAAAAGAGGCTGCTGCAGCCAGAGTGCTTTGGACAGAAACAGATGGTGCACAAACCACTGGGTAAAATGTATTGCAAGCTCAAATTGTTCAGGGAAGAGCACTCTACCAAAGAGGACTTGAGATGTCTGCTGATTCTTCTTCCTTCTTGAAGTTTTGAAACGCAGCAGTAAAGAAAAATCAACATTTTTCAGCTGGTTTTGGTTTGCTGCTGGGGTATGTCCGTTCCTCACATGAATCAGAAGCTGTGGCAAACACAATGTGCTGTGCCTCTGACGGGTACATACCATCCCCATTTCTTGCAGCTAGATGGAGAACAGCAACACACTTCACTGCACAGAGGATGGACAAAGAAAGCTTTGTTGCCTGTGGGGCTCTGCCATGCCGATGTTTCTTTTCCACTTGTGCTCGTAAGTCACCAAAGGGCCCGTGCGTACCCATTGGAAATAGAAGTGTGAAACTAATAACTAAAAATATAAACTCTGGAGGGAAGCAGATGAGTCAGGAGGGAGGGAAGACAGAGAGAGGGATGCAATTTACTGAGCCTGATTCACGATGCTGGCAGGGAGCTCCCTGCCAGAGCCAGATGAATCAGATTCCCTTTCAGTCTGTGCTGGCACCACAGTTATTTTGGTGTCACCATGGGTAGAACGAGAGTAGGTATTGGGAAGTATTACTGGGCAGAGAGTGAGTGTCTGCTGAAACTGAAACAACTTGTGTCATTTTAACATTATATTCACTGAAAGAAGTAAAAGGACGGAAAATGAAATATGCTGATGTGCCAGATCAGAGCTTCTCCTGACAGGCAGGGGAGTGTTCCTCACCCGAGCTGGGGGTCTGGCTCCTGTCTCGTAATGGGACTGGAATAGATGCTGTTAAAGCTCGTAGACAAACATCTAGAGAAAAAATTTCTAAGAAAAAAATGCAGCTGAGCTGGCGTTTTGTTTTAGATCCCCAAAATTTGTGTACCATATTCAGCAGCTCATAAGATGGAATTGACACCCTGCCTTTGGCATGGCAGATAAGATCAGAGAAAAAGGGATGTTACTGGTCTTGTAGTGTTTTCCAAGATGTCACACCTTGCAATGGAGTCCTGCTCAGGAATTTTCACAGCTCCAGCTGATCTCAGGAACCCACTTGTTATTCTCACACAGTGCAAAGATGAACCCAAGAGCTGAGAAGCAGCAATCTTGCATTTCAAGTGCCCATTCAGGCAAAGGGCTAAGGCACCTGTTTTGCTTCGACCCCGTGCTCCAATCCAGTGGCAATCAGGAGGCCCTGCACACTTGCTCAAGTGTCTTACTGAATGGGGTCTTTTAAAATGGCCATTAGCTTCTGAGGATTTAGGTGACGCCCCAAACAAGGTAAAGAATAGGTGTAGAAAACATTTGTGCTAGAAAGACCTTTATATTTCGGGATTTGGCCAATTGCCACGGTTTTCTGATTCAGACGTTCTCTTCTCCTGCTTCTTGTTGTTCTGACTCAAAAATTATCCACGAAAAACATGTTCATCAACAACTGCAAAATGCTCCCAGCATCCTCCAGATGTCAGATCCAAGTGCATGCCTGTGCTTGCCTGGCCAATAAAGAAAACTGGCAAATTTTTGTTTATCTGTTTCTCACCTGTGTCATCATGACAGTCAGCTAAAGCAAGGGCAGATGAATATAGCCAGCAGAGACAGCAGCTTACAAAATGAGCCTATTTTTAACCAGCCTTCCTTCCATGCTGTGGAGGAAACGAGGCATTTAATACGCACTGCTTGATGTGGGATTCACGGTGTGGTTTCCTCCACCCTTGCTGGGATGAGCCTGCCTCATCACCATGCTGATGTTCCTTTCCCAAACCCATATCACATGCCTGGGCAGCCAGCCAGCCTACCTGTCTGAGGAAAACAGAACTGCTTTTCCCTGCCACACCCTGACCTCTGAGGGTGAGATTACCCATTGTCAAGAAACATCAGCAATAACTGTTTGGAAAACAGATGCCTGTCAAATTTCACATGCAACCTTCTTTCCCTGCCTCATCCTTTCCCTGCTCAGACCTTGCTGTAGATGCCATGGCCCCGCTCCTGCTCTGCACCTCCCAAGTACTGGGATCCAATTGATGCTGGGGCATGACCCAGTGCAGAAGATGCTCCCCTTGGGTGTGACCCACCACAGCATCCTTTCACACCACCAGAAAGCTGGTACCAGAGAAATAACAACCCATGTTCGTGACATGGTAGAGTCTTGATTCCTTACACCAAAAAAAAAAAAACCACCTGAAAATCCAACTTTTGCTGATCCGTGAGGAAAGCCTGGAGGTTGGTTCTGTGGAGTGCTCTGTTAGTGCTCTGATTTTATTTGTTTCTATTAGGTAGCACCCAAAAGTCCCAAGAATGTCTCTGATGTGATAAATAGTAGGAGTCTTAAGAGCCACAAAACTAGTTTGTTTGCTAAATAAGTAAATCTGTGCAGGCAGACAAACATTAAGGAAATGATACTACTGGAAAAGTCACATTTATAAAAGAAAATATTTTCACCAAAACTATGTCAAATATATTTTGAATAAATCATATTAAAATACTGTCAGAGTGTAGTCCTAAAACATTTTGCTATAACCTTATAGCAATTCAATTAGTTAATCTAAACACCAGGTAACAAGCAGGGGGGTTGGACTGTATCTTTTGCTGGGTGGAGAGATATAACTCATTCCTTGAGTCGTCTCCTTGATTTCAACAAGGCAACTCAGGCAGTAATAGGACTGGGAGTTTGACAAGCAGTTTCTGACTTTCCATTGTTTTGGAAAATATAATCCTAACTATTTACAAAAGAAAGCAGAAATAATCAGACTTTTTTTTTAACAAAAAAAAGCTCTCTACTTTTAGGCTATCAAAATGTTTACAGACTGTGTTTTGTAGATTATAACTTCTTCTACGAGAATAAATAGCGAGGAAATTTATTGCAGAATGTAGATAAACACAGTTTTTTGTATATTTTAGGGAGAAAAAGATACTGTAGAAATTTCAGATTCTTGGCATTTTTGTAGACACAACTCCAAGACTACAAGTTGCTTATTTTAAAACAGGTCAATCTCTGCATAAACTAAAGAGCAGATTTGTAATTTATTGATACTCTTCTGCCAGCTAAGAACTGGTTTTCGTTACTTCTTTGACTCATTCCTTCAGTCATCACTGTTCTGCTTCAGTGATATTTTATATTAAAATGTGTATCTTTTCCCCTTTAAAAAAAAAATTAGGTTAAATTGCTAATTTCCTTCTGCTCTGCAGTAGGGAAACCCAGGAAAAAAAAGCCCTTCTCCCAGAGTGCTGTGTTGTCCAGCCAACAGACCGAGTACAGAGCATAGGACACATTGAATTAGCAAACATACACTACATGGCACAGCTTTAGCTATTGTAAATGCCAGGTGGGCTGTATCATGCACTGACTCCTGCTGCTTGCTTCCTAATTGCTATGAGAAATGAAGGACAAGCTCGTGAATTAAGGCATGCAACCCGAAACAGGTAAGTTAGAGACAGCTGAATTTAATTTGTTTACAGAGTCAAAGGTTTCTTTAAGCATAGCTTCAACATAACGCAGGAAAGTTTAGAGGAGGTAACGACAGGATTTTCTTAACTCTATTTTTCCTTATCTGATTCATGCAGCATCAGAGAAAGCCACACGCCAGCAGCTGCAGGGTTTTCCTGGGAGGTTGAGTCGCAGCGAGAGCAGAGCAGGGGAAAGCAGAAGCAGAATACAGAAAAATATAGAAAATGTAAGCCCACCACTGGCTGGAGATCCTGGCCAGTTAGGAAGAACTAGATGAAAGCAGTCACACATCTTGGTAGGTTATGGTGGTACAGCAATAACAAGGGAGGAAAACTTTGTCTTTTCAGAGGCTCCCGGTGAAGGATCAGTCCCAATCCAGAGGAGGAGACTTTGTGATTCTGTGCTGCAGGAAAAGTGCAGCTAGACTGAAACTAAATGCTGACACACTCCTCAGCCTCTCGGTGAATATACATCCTTGGATGCCAACCAGATTATTCCGGGCTGCCCTGCATTGCATTATGCCTCACTGATCACTGCTTGCAGAGCTGGAGCTTCAGGTCATTGCAGAGAGAGGAGGAGTGGTGTGGATGTTCCTAACTGAGTCTGAAGACACTTAGGGAGATTGATGAAGGATGCCAGGGCTGCCAGGCTGCCCGATTGGCTGCTGCACTCCCCAAGCTCCAGCTGAGAGGCCACACTGACATGAGAGCACAGCAGCCTCCCAGTGATGGAGAGAGCCAGGAGCAGCAGTATTCTGCATGCTTCCCTGGGAAAACACAGGGAAGCATGCAAGAAGGGTGAGCAGACACTGGGATTTTCACTTCCCTGTGAGGCAAGGCCTGACCCAACCACCCCTGAAGCCAGCAGAGGAGATCCCACTCATCTGTCAGTGCTTAAAATCACATACTTAAAGCCTGGACACACATCAGAGGAAGGGGTTTGGGGCACATCTTGGAAATGAACTTGTATTTGTTGCCAGCTATTTACCCCCGCCAAGGATGAAGAACAAAATATATATCTCGGATTTTCTGTGTTGAACTTATTATAAGGCTCAGACATTTCATTAGTAATTTTTACAAAACAGGGAAGTCATGCTGCCAATTCCACATTCAACCAGCCTGGGGCCAAAACCAGCTGTTGTGCAGGAATGTGCATTAGGTCTGATCCAGTGGTCACTGAGATCAATGGGACAAGTTTCCCTGATCCTAGTGGGAGCTGAGGAGAAAACAGGAGTAACCAGTGTAAACCAGGAGGCCACTGCTGTCTAAGACAGGGAATTTGCCCATACCATCACCCCTGTTTTCTGACTGTGAGTATGGCAGTGGTGTCGGTGAGGAGCACAGGGTAGGAAGGGACTTCAAGGCTTCATGCTAGAGTTGGCTTCCTCGGCATTTATGTCGAGGAAGGCAACATGTGTGGCTGCACTGCTTATGGTACCCACCTTAGAGAAATCCTAGCCTTTAGTTCCTCCTGAGGAGCATAACCCCCATGACACCCGATTAGCTGGGCCCAACCAGGACTGTGGGGTTTTGGTGCCTAAAACATCATAGGATAGGTGACTCCCTATGAAGTAGGGTCTGTGGACTTGTGAGGTCAGGGTTCAACTCCCATGTCTTTAGATGTCTGCAGAATAAAAGCTTAATCCTGTGTCCCACTGCCAAAGGACTACAGTCATCCAGCCACTTGTGGCTGTTAAGAGACTGTGCCCCTGGCTCCGCTGTCTGTATTGACTGGCCTACAGTCTTGACTCCATGAACATAAACCCTTGAGCCCCTTGAACTGCCCTGGGAGCCCAGATATCAAGCTTAGGTGTACAGACCTACAGTTACTCACAAGTTGGGTGAGAGGAATGCTACCACAGGTGTCTGTGGGACTGTAGATGCCTGTGATGAGGTGAGGTGAGCAACTGCAGAGGGTCAAGAGATGAGACCAAAGCCTGTGTTGAATAAACCAGCCCATATTAACCAAGTGCCACAGTGCTGGGCCAGTGCCTGTGACAGACACAGCCTGCACTGTAGGATGTCAGTGTAAAGTCACAACTGCTCTGCCTGAAACGACAATATGCACCATCTCAGCACAGTCCACAAAGGCACCACTTGGGTGGGAGCAGTAGTGGCAATTGATAAACATTTTGTTAATTATATGTCTAAGCTTTATATTCTGCTAACTATACCTGATGGCATAAATCCTTGAGCAGTCCAAGGCCCCTAGCTTGTCATTGCTCAAACATGGAGAAGATGGATCAGAACATAGAGTGGTGACTCAGGGATTCTCTGTGAGCATAGGATGTGGTTTCTCTCTATTTGCAGAACCAGCTGATGAAGAGAGCAGTATGGCATCTGACAAGTGAATTATTCTTAGTGCAGCAGGGGAATAAAAATCCATGTGTTGTTTCCTACTGTTGAAAGCCCTTTAAAAATATGCTTTTGAACATAGTAAAATATTTAGTGAAGATGACAACAGTTGAAGTAAAAATGCAGATGCAAGCACATGTGCATGCACACACAGGAGAACAGCTCAGCTGGAAGATCCCCTAATTTACTCATTTCAGCCATGTGTTTGCACCTACAAAGCCAAAATATTTCTTGCAGCAGACATCTTTGGTTAGCTTTATTTCTGCTTCTGATAATGGTAGAGAATTCCTGTAAAATGCAGAAAGTGTGCAGGATATGGAATGCACCAATACGTCACCATCCAGCACAGGAAGAAGCAGGGCAGGACCTGGAAGAGATCCATAACTGGAGACTAGATTTAAATGGTGTTTCGGAGCTTGAATCACGACATGTGAAGAAATTAGTCCAGCACTGTGCTGCCAGTCACCCCAGCTCTGTGCTTGGGCTGCTGTCTCATGCTGGACACAAATACACTCTGGAGTTATCTAATTTCTATTACCCCAGAGACTGGATCTCTCCTAGATGGGCCCGCAGATGTCCCATGGGAGAAGTTCAGTCCATCTAGTCTCCTGAGCCTGCTGAGGCTGCAGACACGATCTGAGGATCCAGACTGGATCTCCGGACATGTTTTGTTACGTGTCTTTGGAGCATAATTTATCCATGGTGGCAGGTTTGGGTTTGTCCACCTGCAGTGGTTTAGGGTGGCAGCCACCCTTTCATGATAACACACTTTTGTCATAACACACCAGTCCATGGAGCACTTTCCTGGCATGCAGGTGGTCTGGGTTCAGTTCTCTTCCTGGTTTTTGAGGGTTTGGATCCACATTTTCCTTATCTCAGAGGAACCAGAGACGTAAAGATCGAGCTGCATAGGACCTGGAAAATATTTTCACTTGACATCTTTAGGAAAGGTCTCTTGCTGAATGCATTCCATCAGAGTCTTCACAAATGCAGATGGAGGGAAGGTGGCAACCCCTTCATGAATGAAATGGCCATAAATCAGCAGCTCCTTGCTCTTGGACCAGATGTCACCACAGTGGCAGTCGCTGCTGAAACATGGGGTTATCTGAGGTGTTAATGGAAAGGACCAAGATTTGGAACTGCACAATCACATAGACCTGCTGGCGAACCTCTGCCAGGGCAAAGCTCAGCCTGTCTTCCCTAGGCCCTTCCCAGCCTTCCTGCTGCTCTCTGCAAGCATTTTCAACCTGTGAACAGGATTAACACTGCAGTTTTCTGAGCACACCCTTTCTCTGTAAAATCCAAGTGTCTTGTCCTCTGAAAATGTCCTCTCTCCACTGCTCATTCCGTTTAGCCAGGTGGAGGAGCCCTCAGGGCTGGCAGCTGGGTCTGATGGCCTCAGGGAAAGTGTGTCATGGAAATATGCACAGATGACAGAAGAACAGGGAAAAGCAATTGCAATGTGCTAACAATCCCTCAGGGGCTGTGAACAAAAATAAGATAAAAAGACAATACCAGACCTTTCTCGTGACATTTCGTACCCCAGAAGGGTTGGGGTGGGGGTGGAGCAGCCCCTGGTGCAAAGTACCCCGGTGGGATGTGGTTTGGGAAAACTGCCTGTCTGGGGGCCTTTTTCCATCTGCTGTGCTGCTGTGCTGATCTGTGTCCCTTCACTGCTTGTCATGTCCCCTGGACCAGGCTGAGTTGGCCATGGTATGGCAGAGCTGCGAGGCCTGACCAGGCCACCAGCTGAGCAGGGTCCCAGAGCAAGGCAGAGTCATCACCTATCAGAAGGTGTGGTATTTCTGAGCCCTTTGTTTCCCACTGAGTCTACAAAGACCCAAAAGGGAGGTGCTGGGGGGAGCATGTTTGTGTGACTAAGGAGGGGAATAACTGAAGTGTCTTTAATTTTCAAAGAGGGACACATACAGTGCAAGTTAATGTTCAAGTATTTTTTAATAGTCTCTGTAAAGAGAAATGCACCTCTGAGGGGAGATTTCTCTACCACCAGTGTTGAAGACACACACACCTCTCAGTTACTGCACAGAGAGCCTGGAAGATGGGGTCGGTCCAGTTTCTCCATTTCCTTGTGTGCCCATCCAGCCACCTTAGGGCTCCTAGACACCTTATGGGTCTGGCAGATATGACACAAGACTCAGGATAAACCTGTCCCCTTCCAGAGAGACCAGCCAAGTGAAGGTTGGATATCATGGTCACCTCAGAGAGCACCACTTGCCTTTGTTTGGACAGCTGAACCTAGCCAAGGAGGCTGCACTTTTACATTGTTAAAGCTGAGTCAACACATCTGTTCTGGATCTTGACAATTCAAATAATGGGTAGATTGAAATTGTTCTGAGATGCGTATTTATTTTTCTACATTATGTCGTACTTCTTTTGTTTGATTTCCTCTTTCCCTTGCAGTTCAGCTCTTCCAAACACTGCAGGACAAGTGGAGATGGATCTTCAAAAGAGCTTGTATTTCTGTTATCTCTGTATGTGCTTCTTCAATAGCAACACTACTTTGGCTTATTGTTAGAAACTTTCTTCTCTGGACATGTGATCTAGTTCATTTCACAGCTGAGACCCCTCCAGTAGGATTTATGGCTCTATCCAGGCACACCGTGTTCCCTCTGCATTGCTGGAGCAGGGCAGCCTGAGCAGGAGCACAATGGCAGGGTGAGAGCAGGGCACAGCTCGTTGATTTGCACAATAACACCGTAGTCTTCCCAAGAATTTAAATGCTACCAGAAAGTAAGGGCTAGAAATATACTTCCTACAGGTATCACAGAATCATAGAATAGTGAAGCGAGCAGGTTGGAAGGGACCTTTAAAGGCCATATAGTGCAACCCCTGGCAATCAGCAGGGACATCTTCAACTAGAACAGGTTGCTCAAAGCCCTGTCCAACCTGACCTTGAACACTTCATGGGATGGGGCATCTGCCACCTCTCTGGGCAACCTGCTCCAGTATTTCACCAATTCCATTGCAAAAGACTTCTTTATTTCTAATCTTCTAGTTTAAAACCTTTCCTCCCTTGTCCCATCACTATAAGCCCTTGTAAGAAGTCCCTTTCCAGCTCTCTGGGAGCCGCTTTAGGTGCTGGAAGGTGCTACAAGGTCTCCCTGGAGAGCAACACCAGCTCTCTCAGCCTGTCTTCATAGGAGAGGTGCTCCAGCCCTCTGATCATCTTTGTGCCCTCCTCTGGACCCACTCCAGCAGGTCCATGTTGTATCCTGAGCAATTCCTCCAAGTGTCAGCTGGGTCAGCCCTCACCACGTCTCCACACACCCGTGTGTTCAGATGACTTTGCCGTAGGTCAGTGTGCATGGGAGGAAGAATTCCAGCTGTCCTTTTGCTTTGCAGTTTTCATACCACCGAAAGGTTAATGGGGC